TGTGCTTGCTGGCAGGAGGCACCCCTGGGCCCCCTTTTCCCTGCTCCCTGCCTCCCCAAGGCCGGCAGGATCTGGCCCCAGACTCAAGACGAGCCTCAAGACCGGGCTGGGCAGGCAGGTCCTCCCCATGGAGAGCCTCCAGGGCCTGAACCTCCTTCCACAGCCCCAAGGCCATGCAAAAGGCCTCAAGTCGGAGGAGACGGCGGCACTTCTCTGGTGTCTTCAGAGTGAGGATGGGTCAATACCTGTGGGGCAAGAGAGCGTCCGAGGCCGTAACCCCCCCACAGGCACTGGCATCCTGAAGTACAGCCCTGCGACCTGCCCTGGCCAACAGCAGGGTCTTGCCTCCATCCCTGGCTTGGATGCAAGCCCAAGGAAGGGTGGGGGACATCCTGAAGGGGTGACATCAGGACAGCCTGAAGGGGGACATCCCAGGGGCCCACTGCAGCTCCTGACCCCTGTGGGTACCAGGGATGGGGAAACGGCAGTGGGGGGACTCCCATGTCTAGTGTGGTCAGCACACGTTTCTCCCAGTCCCCTTCTTGTGTGGAATAACTGGGCCCTGCTGGGGGAACTGGTGGGCATGGGGCTCTCCCAAGGCAGTTCTCCACTACCACCCAAAAAAAAAATCATCATTACCTTTGGGAAGCAGATGAGCATTGGGGTCCAGCTCCTCCCCTCCCCGGTTCACCCCTAAATAGTTGCCACAGTGGGTGCCGGCACCGTGCCCACCCATCACCAGTGAGGACCCACCAGGCAGTAGCTGAGCAAACGCAGGTGCTCTGGAACAGCTTAGGTCTCAGGGAGGGTTTTGAGGCAAAGTCGAAAAAGGACTTTTGTCTCAGGGTGCATCACACCCCAAACCCCTCATCGAGCCCAAAGCCCAGGGATCTGCAAAACCTGCATCCCACACACTGCCTGGATGGGGATCTGGGGGTGTCTCCATGGCAGGTGCCTCCATCCTTCCTCACGCACACCAGGAATCAGGAGCCCAGAAGGAATCCCCTGTGATTT